TCGCATGACAGGACATTCCGTGCCTTACGAGAGGGCCCCGGAACGTGGCGGGCACTTCATCCAGATGCGAGCCATTGTCACTGTCCCTGTCCCTGGGGGCACGCTCGACTTTGGGCGTGTTGCTGTGGCTGGGGCACACTCAGGACTCCTGGGACGGTTGGCGAGGACACCTGGGTGGGGGGAGGGCCGTGATTTCCTCCCTCTCCCTCCCCACTCACCTTTGCCTTTTGCAGCCTGAGAGGGTTTCTGCATTAGACACCCACCCGTTGGTCCCTCCCACGCTTCCAGCTTAAGATTTCGGTTTTCAGATTCCCAGGAGTTCAAAGCGGAGGTTCACGGCTCATTGGCGGACAGAGCCTTCCTGAGCAGGAGGTGCGCCTCACCCCGGTGCTCCCCAGAACCGCAGAGCGGAGGCGTCCCTCCCACAGAAACGCCGAAACCGTTCGTGACAAGAGGACTTTGCTCTAAGGTGGCAGTGGGCCCTTCGTGGCAGTCGAGTCACTCGCCTGCCCCGAGCCTCTGCACCCCATCTGTGGAGTGGGGCTAGGGTTCCTCCTGGGGGTGCTGTGAGCACGTGCTGGGGACACGACGGGCTCTCGGCATAGGTGAGCCCGTCTCTCACAGGGTCCCGCCTCAGGGTCTCCGTGTCACGTGCGGTCAGCGTGTCCTGAGCTGCTCTGCACGATGCCCCACTCCCAGCCGCTCAGAGGTGGGAACCCGGATCCATAAGTGAAGCTCATCTTGGCCCAGGCCGCGTTTTGCGATCTTGTGCTGTTTTCATCATCCGCTGGCCTCTTAGTTATTCTCAGCCCTGGTTTGGGGACGTGAGGGGTTCTCCAGGGATGTGGTGACGCAGATTTTGTGATGAGGACATGCTCGTTTTGCAGACTTTGTGTGTAGTGTTTTTTTTTTAATAAAACGTTATTTAACAGTAATTATTAAGGCAGGTTCTCTCCTTCTCGATGGGGGCTGCGCTGTGTGCTGCGGGGTGGCCAGCAGCGTCCCTGGCCTCTGCCCACTAGCTGCCGACATCCACAGCCCTCCATCATGACAGCCACAATGTCTCCAGACGTGGCCAAGGTCCCTGGGGCCCAGATCGCCCCCCTGAGAACCACTGCCCTGTACCCTCTGACGGGGCCCTTCCCAGCCTCTCCCTTGCCTCCTCCTGGGCTTGTCCCCAGGAGATCTGTACTGCGGGAAGCGTGGCCTTCACTGGCCTGTCCAGCGCCCAGCTAAGGATTCTGTAGCCTTTGGAGAGGAGTATTTTGCATCTCTAAGGGAGGACGAATCATCAAATCATGAGTCCCCTGGGTGTAGAATGCGTCAGAGTAATTTTGATTATTGAAATTAGTTTTTGGAGAAATATCTGGCTGTTAACTTCCGTGACCATGTTTCCTTTAGAGTTTGGTATTTTCCCCCTAAAAAGCATCATGCAGCCACAAGAGCCTGTCTAGACTGTGTGGTCTTTCAGACAGCTTCTACATTTCAGCGTCGTCGTGGCCTGGGGGGTGGACAGACACTGTGTGGGTCCCGGAGTGGACACTGGAAGTTGGGAGACGAGGTGAGACACCCGCATTCTCGAGTGGACACTGGGACCCGTTCCCTGGCTTTGCTTGGGGACCCCTAGTGACAGCTGTAGACCCCACTGTCATCCGGCGAAAGACAGCACGTCAGCGCCGAGAAGCCGGGGGGTGGGGGGCGTGACGTGCGAGAGCTCGGGTTTCTGGACTGTCCCCGTCCGCGCTTGCGAGTGTGCTGTCGCAGAGGACAGGACAGGGGTCTGGGGATTTCCGGATAGATCCGCAGAGCGGAGATGCAGGACAGGACGGGGAAGAGGGGGCACGGCTCAGGCACAGATCTGGGTCCCGGGGTGACCCCGCTGGCCCGGCCTCGTGGTTCCAGGCGCTGCTCTGCACTCGGGTCGACACCGTCATCGTCTCTCCCTGCCCCAGGGCAGCCGTCCGCTCCGCTCCGCGGCGCTGCCTGCGGCCTCTTGGCCCACGGGCCTCTGTACCACACAGAAATCCCAGGCTGAAATTTCAAAGCTGTTCATGCCAAAGGAAGCACTTCATCACGCTCGTGGACGTTCCCCGGATGTCGCGTGTACACGCTTCGCATCAGCGTGACGGCGCCCCGTGGTGTGACGGCCACCCCTACAGCGTCTGCGTGCCTCCGGAAGCCCGTCACGGCGGCGTTGGCATGCCGCTTGCCACGTTTATGAAAGTGACGTCCTGTCCCTTAGGCCCGAACGTAGGTGGCATTCTCATCACTGTTTAGCAAGCGCATTTTCAAATCTGAAAAATGGGCTAAATTGGCTGGAACCTTCTCGGGTCAGAGAAGCAGCACCAGTGACCTTACCCCATGCGTCCTGACAATCGTGGCCCCGCTGCGTGGCTGGCCGGCGTTCCCGCGTCAGGGCTGAGGGCTGGGCGTGGACGGCTGTGGGCCAGGCCGGGGTTGCAGAGCAGGAGTCACCGTCAGGCCGGTCTGCGGCCCCCGGAGAAGCCGCGGTGGCTCTCCCGGAGCGTGCGGGGCCTGGCGCTGCCTGCGGTCTCAGGCTGCTCGGTGTCAGGGCCCACACATGCGGGCCCTGGGGACCCCCAGGGGCTTTGGCGTAGGTGGGTCGCGTGCATCGCGTGTCTGCTGCATTGCGAACCTCCGTGTGCTGATCCATTCACAGGTAACATCGGTAAGCCACTTTACACTGACAGAAAGGATGTTTTTATGGAAATATCTGCTTTCCAAAACAAAGACATTTGTAGGAGTGTCATCTTACCTCTCCACAGACCTGTGTCATGTCCTGTTTGATAGATTGCAGCTGGACTCTCACGCCTGCTGGAGGGTCAGCCGGGTCCAAGGTGTCCTTCTGGTTGAAGCGTGTAAAGGATGGTGGCCTCAGGCATGTCCTTGGTGGCCTTGTCAGATGATCATGGCTGTTCCCTTGACAGGACACAGAACTCACAGGCGGTAGCGGGTCCATGGTGGCCGGAACCACGCGTGTGGGCTCCGCCCTCGGCCGCCCACTCCCTGGGTGGGCGTCTGTCCCTGGGTGGGCGTCTGCCCCCTGCAGCAGCACGGTGCTGGATACGCAGGTCCAACAAGCCGACGCGTCCCGTCCTGCAGTGTCTCTAAGAGCCACATCTGTTAATGTCGCCGCCAGGGTCATGGGAAGCTGTTGAGATCTTGGTGATGGATGCATGTTTTCCAAAACTCTAAATTTTGTTTTGCCTGAAAGCTCAAGTCTCGTCATTGCAGCATAGATGGCCACTTGTTTGCCTTCTGGCCCTTTTTATTCCAGAGTTTTCTCCTGCAGGTGCCGTGCCCCCGCTCCCCACGCGCCCTGGCTTCCTTGGCTCGGCCTCAGGGGCTTGGACGGCCTCACCCCCAGCCCAGTCCCCGGCAGCCTCCAGCCTCGTTTCTATCCTTTGGTGGCTTCAGACGGCACAAGTTTATTTCTCACAGTTCTGGAGTGGGTCTCGCTGGCTCAGGTCACGGCGTTGTCATGGCTGCGTTTCCTTCAGGCTCTTGAGAGACAGCCTGGCTCCTCGGTGCTCCCCGCTTCCGTGTGACACAGTGCCCACCCGTGCGGCGGGGCACCTGTGTGTCATGTGACCTGTGCGTCACGGTGACCCGTGTGTCACACGACCTGTGTGTCCCGCGGGGCACCTGGGCCTCTGGCACCGCATCTCGTCTCTGCCCTAGGGTGCTCGGCCCTCGCAGGGTGCCACGCAGCAGCCGCGTGTCGACGGTTTTGAGCGTTTGGTTACGGGCCGTGTTTGAACGGACGTTCGGCCCTTGTCGTGGTGGCGTCACGGGCAGGTAGGAGGGTCATTCCTAGGGGTTACTGGAACACTCAGCGGTCGGGTGTTGTGGGAGCTACGAACAGCTCACTCGCACATGCTTCCTGAGAAGAGTGGCTGTTTCTGTACGGTTAAAGCAAGCATGGCGAGATGTCGGATGTCGGTGAGTGTGGAAGGGTGTGTACGTGCTCACTTAATGTCGACGCGGATGTTTCCGCAGTAGACAGTGGGGCGGGCGTCCCGGCCGTTGTCGGTCGGGGCGGCGGGGTCCCCGTCATCGTGGGGGGGGGCCAGTCACACCCTCAGGGCGCTCCGTGTGATGAGACCTCTGATCTCACGTCAGGCGCACGTCCCACGTATTCGGGACGCTCGACGAGACCCCTCGGGCTCCGGGGCGAGCGCGTGCATGTGCGAAGACCTCTGATCTCGCGTCAGGCGCACGTCACACGTTGTACTCGGGATGCTCGACGAGACTCCTCAGGCTCCGGGGCGAGCGTGTGCATGTGCGAAGGGGAGAAGCCGAGACGAGCAGACGGGGCTTCCCGCGGCTCACCCGCTCTCCCAGCGTGCCCCGGGGCTGGTCACCGACCCCACTCCTGCTGGGGCCGCCGGCCCCTCCCCCAGGCCTGGCCGTGGTGTGCGGGCTACACTGGGAGCGACCTGTGCGCGTCCGGGGCTGGCAGGGCCGTGGTGGCTCGGGGCCCCTGTGACAGCGGGTTCCGGAGCTCCATCGTGAAGTGCCGGCCGTACAGGTGGGAGCTGGCCAGTCCGCTAAAGGGGCCAGCGACAGTTTCCCGTGCGTGCCGGCCTCGGTTCTCGGCGCCGGTGTCAGGGCAGGGCTCAGTGCCGTCACGGCCCCCAGCACGGGCCTCGGAGCTCCCGCACCCACCTCCGTGCCCCGGGTCCGCGGGAACAGCCTCTGCGGGGTGCTGCGGTCGCATCCTTATTTGGAACGCGGTCACCGTTTGTAGGGGTCAAGAGGTAGAGCCTCTGGGTTGGCGGTCACTTCGTCCCATCTCCTATCTTCTCCTGGCGTCCCTCGGCGATGCCCCTGCCTGCTCAGTCCCCACGGTGCGGCCCTCATCCCCGGCCCATCGTCCCCGTCGGCGTGACAGCCTGGTGCTGAGCCACATTTCCAGCGCCACCTCCTCTGCCACGCCACAGGCTCGAGGTTCTGGCGCCAGCACAGCTGGGTCTGACGTCTCCTCTTTGCTTCTCAGGTGCCCGGAGCCCTCATCTCATCTCGTCCCCTGTGACACATCTGCTCCCAGACCCAGGCGGCCGTCGGGTGACGTGGTGACGAGGCTGTGCGTCGTGTTCCAGGTACGTCCGCCCGTCGGCACCCTGCGGGATGGCCGCCACTTCGTCCTGCTCTGGACTTGTGAAGGGCGCTGCCAGCTAACACGCTGAGCGGTCGTTCTCCAAACCGGCGACCGCCGTGCTCTCTGACGCCTCCGGCGTGTCCCCCCAGCGGGGCCCGGCCTGCTGTCACCGCGGCGCGTTCCCCACGCTCCTGCATTTCCTCCGTGGAGAACCATTACGGCCCCCAGATGTGATGCCTTCGCAGAAGGCCGGCCCCGGGGCGCGGCGGGGAGAGGCTGTGCCCGCAGCCTCGCTCTGCCCGGTGCGGATGCGGTGCTGCGTGGTCAGCAGTGGCTGGGAGGCACCTGCGCTCCCCAAGGTGGCCGCTGGCCACTCCACGGTGGCTGGTGGCAGTGCCGCCCGCGGAGCATCCAGCCGCGTCTCCGCCCTGGTCCCTGGGAGGGTGACGGCCGGCTCCGTTGTCTCCCTGATCTCTGGGTTTCACTCTGACCTGAGAATTCTCCGTGGCTTGTCCTTGGGTGTCGGTGCTGTGGGACGGGGTGTAGACCGGTGTTTGGGGCGGGTCCCTGGGCTCCTAGGTCTTGGGGGCGAGGCGTGCATGAGCCGGGCAGGGGCGCTGGGGAAGGCCAGGGCTAACCAGTGGGGCTCGCGTCCCCTCTCTCTCTCTCTAAGGAGATGAGCCCCAAGTTTTATCTGGTGCTTCCGCTTGCATTTGGCACAGGATGTCGTTGGGGAAAAAAGCGTTCTGCTGTTAAAATCCTCAATAGCTTCTGTTCCAGTTAGTTTCCAATTAAGAAAAAAAGTGGGTTCACTTCGCAGAGAGACAGTTATTATCGTCACTGCTCTAGCCATCACACAAGAACTCGGGGGCCGCTCTTCAGGTGTGACGGTGCGTTTGCGTTAAGAGCCTCCCTGACTCCTACTCTGCACGCCGACGTCCTCACGGTCCTCGGGCCAGCCCCAGTCCTGGTGCCGTCAGTGAGAACGCAGGCGGGTCGGGTTC